AAAATTCTTTTGTTATATGAAAGGCGCGTAGCAAACAGATGTAAAATTATTGGCCGAACTTGTGTATATTTTGCATCAGTAGTGTTATCCACGAAACAAAAAATTGTTTCGGCAGCCTGGAAATCCCTGCAGTGTTCTCACATTTATTCGTTAGACATTTCTGCAGGTCGAGCATTAGTCCAGACAAGAGTAGTCAGGTGCAAATAGGGAGTGGTGTTTAGGCAATTTAATAAAGTCAAGAACTGATAAATTTTTTCACTGGTGCCATTTTTTTGATATTATAATGCTTAGCGTTTTCCAAAATACGCCCAGAAAGCTGATAAAAGCACTACACTCTCTTGAGGTTTAAATTCTCAAGAACGCTATACTCTTTTTAAAAATCCTAGTTAAGTCAATCAACCATGAAAAACATGTAGCAGAGTATTGGGAATCAAAATCAGATTGCATTTAAGGTTGGATAGATTTTGTAAATGCGTTTGAACACATTCTCTTGTAGGAACATATTTTAAATAGAAAGAATGCATTCTTTGGACAGAATATTAAATAATATTATTAATATTACTGGATAGAATATTAAATAATATCATGAGATGTGCATTTGTGAGTGAAAGTAAACTACCATTTAGGCGATCTCCCGAAGAGATGGTGCACATACATCGAACAAGCGCTGGGAACTAACTGGAGGCATACAGCTGAGGATTGAAGGGCCTGGCATAGCTGTACTTGGCATGTGGAAGCATTTTAGCAGCATCGTGTGTACAATGAAAACCTGAGCGGTCTTGGTAATTATGGTAGTTATCAATATTTAGAATTTGAGAAAAATCTGTTCCCTAAACCAACTAATATCCTTGAGAAGATATTTGCATGCACAACTTTGATGACAAAACGATTACATGCATTAGCACGGTCAATGATTTCAATTACATATAAAAGCAAAAAGAAAGCATGAGTATCCACATATGGTTCATCAAGTAAAATCATATAATCAAAATAGATTAACGGAACTGCAAAGAAATCGAATCTGTTGGGAGCTGCTGTAAATAGCTAGGAATTGAAGAGGATGATGATTGCTTCGTAACCTATCAGGCTAAACGACGTTTCGTCTTTATAAACTTGGATCTAGTTTCTATGCAAACCCATGCCAAGAAAATTCACGTTTTTCTGAGAGGTATGGGATGCAGCAAGATAGGGAAACGGAAGCGATACAAGACGATGCGTCCGGCCGCTATTCAGTAGACTGAAACCGAATGCTGGAGAAAGGGCGAAGCGGAACGTCGAGCGATAGTAGGGTGTGAAGGTTACTGAAACCTTGGCCTCGATAGACATCAAGCTCGTCCTTCGCGTTTGGCGGCCGAAAGTCTGTCCCCGACCCCGACCCCGACCTTAACGCGCGGCCTATCTTTTACATCCCTCTTCAGGTATCCTTTTATCAGTCACCCCCTTGCAGCAAGAGAATGCCCTTGCGCAATCAAGGCCAACCCTTTCCCTCTTCCCCTCCCGTTAAAAGTCCTTCACCCATATCAGTACGTTGGAATCATTTTTCAGATATGATTATTTACCGGTAAAATCTCAAGGCTAATCATCAAATACAAAATTTTTTGCCTACCCTTTTTACATGCATGTTTTTCGCACTTGAGATGGATCTCCTGCCTTGCGCTGATATAGTGCACATTGTCCTGGCATTTTCTTTGCGTCCTTATCGAGAAATACTGATTTGTTTACAGCTGTACATCGCTCCAAAAGCGAATCACGACATTTCATTTATCAGCTCTGTACAAGTGGATGCAGAAGCGTCGACTCATCGAGGCCTTGACCCTTTTTGTTGTGCATTTGGGACACGGTGACAGTCTCGCAGTGCTCAAGCGAGAGTTCGAAAATGCGCCGCCCTCTTTGCGTGCCTCGTTTTCCTTTCGGTTGGCTCTTCCTTCTCATCCTCCTCTCCGTACTGCTCGGCGCGCCGCTCTCTCGCGGGCACTAAAAGTGAATGAGCCGGAATGAGAAATGAAAGTTTTTCATTGCCATAATAATGGCTTCTGATCAGGAGATTCTCTTGTTGTGGGGTTCGAGCCCATCTGCGTGTATGTGTATGCATATGTGCGTCCTTGGCATTTTGAGGCTTACCGAGTACGAACGGTACAGAAGAGAATGGATGCGCGGAGGTGCTGCTGGTTGTAAGTTCTCCTCGAATTGTTGTCGGTGCTCTTCCGCTGTGCCCACCCCAGCCCCGCCCCGGTTGCTAATTCCAATTGTGCACCAGCGAATCCAACCCCCAACCACCGGCCACTGTCACAAGTCTGTGACACGTGCGCATTCAGCGGCTATTACGGTGGCCAGCCCTCAAGTGTGTGTCTCTTTCACTCATTGTTCCACTGGGTGTTCCTCCACCGGTCTACCAGGCAAAGCCGTAGCAGCAGGAAGCATAGTCCTGAACCTTTCTTCCCCTGCATACACATACACACAGGTTTGCTGTAGGTGCCCGGAGTAGAATGTGCGCAAAAAGCTACCGCTTCCTGGGCGGATGGGTTTTGTCAGTCTGTAGTAGGTCTGAGTATGCGCGGATGTACAGTCTGTGCTGATAGTGCGTTGCCAGTGATGATGATGATGATGAACAGCAGCAGTACCCTCCCACTTTTGCAGGACTGATGAATTGCTGGTGCGAGCTGAATTCTGATTCCAGGACGTCCTGAGCGGAGTCCACTTGTCGTTCTGGTCCATACTCTCATCGGCGGCCACGGCAGCGCCACCACTCCTGAATACGGGAGGCCATCTTGATCGCTGTGGTACTTGGTCAACGTTGCCTCAACAGGGATGTGTTAAAACTGCGGTTGTTGCCATTCTGGCTCGCAAGCTGGTGCAGCTGGTTGCAGCCTGCACACTACGACGGCATTCAACCGTTCCACTAACAAGGTCAGCAGCGGTCGAAGGTCGCAAAAGCGGTGACATAACCCGAACATCATCATTAAGGACATGGTTGGCATTGAAACGACCTTGAAGCTAGACGATCTTCAGAACTGTAAGCCGCAAATTGAATACGAAAACTGTCCTGTTTGTGGTGATCGTGTTTCCGGATATCACTACGGATTGCTCACTTGCGAGTCGTGCAAGGTGCTTTTTAAAATTTCCTTTTTCAGATCACCTTACTACACCATACCAATCAGTCCGCTTAATATCAGCAGATAGCACTCTGCGTCCTTATT